GGATTGGCCGACGAGGCCTGAGGAGGCGGGCGGGGTTCGGCGGGCCGACGCTGCGGCGGGCTTCGGGGGGCGCCTTGGGCTGTCCTAGCCGTTTCTACCCCTCAGACCCGGCGGGACTGGCCCGGTCGACCCCGCCGCTCGGAGGTCCGCCTTCCCGCTTCGGAAGACCACAAAATGGCGGCGCCCGGGGGCGGAGCCACGGCACGAGCTTGTGGGGCGCCGGGCCCGCGGTTGGAGGCCGAGGGAGTTCGGCTGCCTATCTCGGGGATGTGAGGCTTGGCCGGGGCTGCACGCTGTGCACGTGCTCCGTCGCGCCGGTCCCGGAAGCCGTCCGGGCGGCGCTGGTCGGACCTTGCCCCACCAGTGCGCGGTCTCCGCAGGGGCTAGTGTCGGCGGGCGCCTGCCGCGTACGTGACTCGTGCTGGCCTAGGACAGGACTTCGAGGGTCAGGTGTTGGGTCTCGTGCAGAATTGCAAACCTGATGTGCCCTGGGGTGGTGGCAGATTCTTGGGCTTCCTTCAGGCAGCCCCTCGTTGTGGCCTGGAGGTGTCTGGGGGCTGTGTAAGAGGGGACGTGCCTTTACCCCACTTGGGCCTCAGGGTCTGCGGCAGGACGGATTTTCTCGAGCGACTGGCTCTCAGTGTCCAGAATCCGAGATTTCTAGGATGCTTTTGCTGTGCGCTGGAAGCCAAGTTTGTCCGTGGAGAACAGTTGATGTTGGAATACGTGGGGTGGGGGGCTTAACCAGGTGCCGTCCCTATCCAAGTATCTATCCGAGGTTGGGGAAGCAAGCAGTCTGATCTTCGTTACAACAGCTAAAGAAAGGCACTGATCTTGAAAGGTGGCAGTGTTAGGATCCAGCGGCAGGAATTGCAAGAGAGCTGTTGAGGTGCCTGGTGTGCTTGGGTGTCTCCAGTGTTCTGGGGTGGCTCACCCTGGCTTTCCCCGTCTTTTCTGCAGTCTACCTGGGTCTCGCAATTCCTTGCCTGCTTCCCACCAGATCTTTTCAGCCAGTAACCCTGCCCTATGCACGTCCTGAGCACCAAGAGGTTTTATGCTCCTGACTTCCTACCTGCCAGAACCCTTCAGGTTCCGGTTAGATGCTGGGGCCTCCTTGAGTCCTTCTGTGGCTTTTCCACCTCGAGTTATTTCTCAGGACTCGCTGAGCCTTGACAGTTGGTTCCTGACCATAGGAGGCACCTACATGTGAGTTCATGTCTCAGTTCTTCCATTCTCCAGCTCCATGATCATGGGCAAGTGCCAGCCTCTTGAGCCTCTGGGACAATAGGGTAAATATTATCTATCTGAAGGGGTGTTATGAGGTTATGTGATTAGTATATGGTATTTAGACTAGTGTTCTGTAGTCGGTCACTTGCCGTTAGGATCGCTACTCTGTTTTTCTACCGCACAGGTGTAGAAAAGGCTGTGTGGCAAGGGAGACCGTAGCCGGCAAAGGGCAAACTTCAGCAATGTGTCCCTGAATCTCCAAGGCTTAGCTCTGTTATCTCTAAATGGCATTCGGGGACACCAACCAACATGTGCCCATTGCCTGTCATGTGTGGGCACACACTAGGCACTTGGCTAGTGGCTTGGGTTGTTCTGGAAAGAGAGACAGGGTATATTCCTGTTTTGTAAAGGCGAGGATCATTGACAGGTGTGGATGGCTGCCTGTGCCCAGCTCCGTTTGAGGCTCCAGGGACACAGAAATGAAGAGGGCCCAGACAGAGGCTGTCATGGGAGTCTGCAGGGGCAAGGGGAGCCACCACAGAGAGCTGCAGCCCGGATGCCTTAGGCCAGGCTGAAGCCCTGGGACATGAAGGCCCAGGGGAGCATGGGAGGGAGGGTCATGGAGAAGTGAGGCCTGGAGAGGCACAGTTGTCTCCAAATTCTGAACTTTGCTCTCAGTTATGGGGGACTTAGGACTGCTTGGTGGGTGGGCCAAACTGGGAATGTGGACACAACTGTATCCTAGTACTGGGTTAGCTGGCACCTTGTCCTGTGTCATCCCGGGTTGTGAATGGAGGCTCAGGCCAAGCTTCCTCCACAGGCTACTGGCAGAGCTGGCCCCAAAGTCTGTCCCCCCCACTCTTTTCTGCTTTGACCTCAAGCCTGTGTGTGGAGGGTGGTAATGGCAATCAGCCCGCTCAGGACTTTTAGAGGGACAGTGTTGTGGTTATGCTGCCTTCTTGTGAGGCCGGCACTGAACTGTCCTTGAAGGCGACCACTCTAGATGCCTTAGAGCACCTCAGAAGCACCCGTTTTCCGTGTGACAAATAGGATCCTACCTCACAGGTCTTCTCTTCGCAGGCTATGGGGCATGGAGTGCTGGACCCACCAACACCCAAGGTAAGACTTCACGGGGAGGTGTGGATTCCACCCCACACACACCTGAGGCGCTAGCCTGCCAGAGCCCGGGACGGTGACCGTAACCTGGAGAGCGTGACAGGCACACTAGGGCTAGCCCAAGGATCTGGAGGAGACCTTTTCTGTAAAGGGCTGCATAGTAAACTTTTTTGGCTTCGGGGCTATACGGTCTCTGCCATGCAAAAGTCCCAGAGATGTTTATAAAAAAAAACAGACGTGGTTGTGTGCCAGTAATATTTAAAGATACCGAAATTTGCATACCGTATAGTTTTCATACGTGGTGAAAGAGCCTTTATTTTAGGGATTTATTATTCAGAGCAAATAGCTGAGGGTATGATAAGAGATTTTTATGATTAATAGACTTTATTTTTTAGTAGTTTTAGACTTAACGGGGTTGAGCAGATAGTCTCCTTTCACGCCAGCAGTTTCCTTTGTTATTAATATCTTGCACTAGTGCAGTATGTTTATTGTCAGTAACAAGTCAATGTCAATACGTTGCCGCTAATTACAATCCACAGTTTAAATTAATAGTCGCTGTGGTTGCACAGTTCTGTGAGTTTTGACAAATATATAAATGGTGCATTTCATGTCAAAATTCACGTCATGAACTATTCTTTTTTTTTTTCTTTTTTTTTCCCTTCCCATCTCCAACCATTTACAAAGCTAACACCCATCCTTAGCTTGCGGGCTGTACAAAAACAGGCAATGGGCTAGATTTGGCCTGGGGCCCTGTTTGCTGGCCCTGCTCTGGAATCTAGATCATAATGCTGGATGCTCAGGATGTTTAAAGGACCAGAATGTCCTCCCTGGTGGCGAGGTTGTCTGCTTTTTGCCAGCATTTGTTCCAGGGGATGGGATGAGGGCTTTCTTTGTTCTCTGACCCTGGAATTTGCCCCCAGCACCATTGAGGGTGGTGGGGTCACTTTTTCTCCCATCACCAAGTTTCCCAGGAGGAAGCTTTTTCCATGTCGCTTGGGTACATGATGTCCCCTTGCTTAGTTGAGTTGGGGACACAATCTTCCACCGATGTACTCACTGTGTTAGCGGTGCCTGAGCTCTGGCAAGTGGTGAGGACTGGCACTTTCCAAGGGTTCTGCCAGAGGATCTAGCCTTGTCCGCCTGTTGGCTGGTGGCCCACACTGGACACTTCCTGGGAAGGCTGCACTTGTCCTTTCTCATTGTCCTGATGGGGGAGATCAGGCTTGCCTACAAGAGAAGTCTGGATCATTCTTAGCTGAGTAGAGCTGTAGGAAATGAGTTTTACAGCTAGTGGGCCCCAGCCATTCCTGGCCTCAATGGCCAACCAGGGGTGCCCCTCCCACAGCACTGCCACAGCTGCCCACAGCCCTAGACCTGCGGTTGGTGGAGTAAGGTGACAGTTGGGGCGGGGGGGGGGGGTCTCAGGCACTTTCATTCTGTAAACAAAGCTCTTGTCTCTTTTTGTTTCTCTCAGGTGCATACGGAACCGGTGTGGCCAGCTGGCAAGGTAGGCCCTCTGGGGATCTGTGGGCGCGCAAGAAGGCTTCTGATCGGCCACCCGATCCCAGAGGGGCTGGGATACAGAGACCTAACCCCTCCCCCTGCCCCCCCCCCCCCCCCCCCCCCCCACGTCCTATTCTGGCTGTGCCCACAGCTCTCCTGAAGGCTTGGCAGGCCCAGGCAGTGTCAGGAACTTGCTGGCAGCTGGGGATCGTGACTGTGTTATGGGAGCAGCAGCCCCAACTGCCATTCACGGGCTCTCAGCCACCTCTGGCTTTGAGTGGGGAGCAAGTGTTCAGATCTGGTGCGGAAAGCCAACCACTCGTGGCTGAGGCTCAGCCTCTGTCCTTCTCTTGCTGCCCCTTGGTGGGTGATATTTACAGCGTGGGGTGATGCCAGCGCCACTTGGTTCCTTGACAGTCTTCCTTCTCTGTGGGCAGCGAGTGCTTCTCTCCAGACGTGGCTGCTGTAGACTGACCTTGGGGCCGCTGAGGTCTGATTTGGCTCTTCCTCCCCGTGGCAGGTTATGAAAACTACAATTATTATGGTGCCCAGAACACCAGCGTCACCACAGGAGCGACCTACAGCTATGGCCCAGCCTCGTGGGAGGCCACCAAGGCCAGCGACAGCCTGGGAGCTGGGGGCCCTGCCATGCACATGGCTTCTTATGGTCCAGAGCCGTGCACCGACAATTCTGACTCTCTCATTGCCAAGATCAATCAACGTTTGGACATGATGTCCAAGGAAGGAGGCAGGGGCGGGAGCAGCGGCGGTGGGGAGGGCATGCAGGACCGGGAGAGGTGATTATGGACCTGAGCCCTTCCCTGGGGATCCCACACCCCAGCTTTGTGCAGATGGCAGTGGGCACCCCCTCTTCCAGGGAGGGTTTTCCTCAGCTCCTTCCTGAACATGGAGTAGATGAGTTGGGCGTTACTGGGGCAGAGGCATTGTAATAGGACTTTCTGGTTTCCTGAGTGGTGGGGCTTAGGGTATGACTGTTAGCTAAATGACACCAGACTCCTTGTGTCTGCGTCAGGTACCTGTAGACCCTCTTGTTCTCACAGCCAAGGGCTCCGTGCACCTCGTTCAACAACGTTCAAGGGGGATCGTTGGTGTGCTTTGCCTTCTGAGCTTTCAGGAGGGCTGCGTGGTGGTGCCGTGTGCTGTTCTGAATGTCGTGAAGCCAGCTTTGCGGGAGACTTGCGCTTGGGCCCAGAGTGAAGTGATGGTTATGCTTCCTTTGCAGCTCCTTCCGCTTCCAGTCGTTTGAGTCCTATGACTCCAGGTCTTGTCTGCCTGAGCACCATCCGTACCGCCCCAGCTACAGCTACGATTATGATTTTGACCTGGGGCCTGACCGAAATGGGGGCTTTAACAGTCAGTACAGTGACTGCCGGGACCCAGCCCGTGAGCGGGGCTCCCTTGATGGCTTCATGCGGGGCCGGGGCCAGGGCCAGGGCCAGGGCCGCTTTCAGGACCGGAGCACCCCCAGCACCTTCATGCGCAGCGACCCTTTCTTGCCGCCGCCGCCGGCAGCCTCCTCCGAGCCCCTTTCCGCTCCCTGGACGGAGATGAACTATGTGGGTGGGCGGGGCCTGGGAGGCCCCTCCCCCAGCAGGCCACCGCCTTCCCTCTTCTCCCAGTCCATGGCCCCAGACTTCAGTGTAATGGGCATGCAGGGGGCCGGCGGCTATGACAACTCTGCGCCCTATGGATGCGGCCGGTCACAGACCCGGATGAGGGATCGGGTAAGCCCTTGGGAAGTTCTCTAATCTGCCGACTTCTCAAACAGCTTTATTGGGGAAAATTTGGGTACTGTAAAATTCACTCATTTTTTAAGTGTGCAATTGAGTGTTAGTAAAAACGTACAGAATTGCGCAACCTTCACCACCGTCTAATTTTACAGTATTTCCATCAATCCAGAAAGAAGCCAACCTCTGCCATTAGCAGTCACTCCCTGCTCTCTACTCCAGTCTTGACAACTGTTAATCTTTCTGTCTTTGTAGATTTACCTCTCTTAGACCTTTCACGGGAACGTGATCACATAATATGTGGCTTTTTGTGTCCAACTTCTTAGCATAAAATTGTGGGTGGTGGGAGGGTTCAACTACAGTCATCTTTTTGTTTTGTGACAAGATCAAAGATCTTTCCTGCCTTTGTACTCTGATCTTACAACTTCTCCGATCTTCGTTTCTCTGGGGTTTCTTAATGGTCGGGGTAAGCGGTACATCGGATGTGCTTGTGTCTGTAGCCCAGACGGAGAGGGTTTGACCGCTGTGGCCCAGACAGCATGGGCAGGAAACGGAAGCAGTTGCACATCTACGATGAGCCTGACACCAAACTGGCCCGGGCTGACAGCGAAGGAGATTTTTCTGAAAATGGTATGCCCTGGGGGCCAGCAGGCCCGGGTGGGTGTGAGATGTGTCCGTTTTTGTGCTTGGCGCTCCTCCTGCCCGTCCATACAGTGGACCTGTGTTGAACTCCAGGGTGGCGTGTATCACCCGCACTCCCATGGCCCCCACTGTAGTCAGGACAAGTGCTGGCTGCTCTGGGCGGTGAGCTTGGGAGGGTGAAAGGAGGGAGCGGGCTAACTATGGAGGGGCTGATTTTCCCTCTTCTTTGTGTCCGGTAGATGATGGAGCTGCTGACTTCCGGTCAGGAGATGAAGAATTCAGGGGTGTAAGTCCAACTTCACTGGTCAGCCTCCTTTGTTTCTGGTGTGGGATTTTTTCTTTACATTATTACCCTCTCTCTCCCAAAGAGGCAGGAACAGCTTCTGTGGTAGACTTGACTGCTGTGTGAGTGGATTTAAGAGTCTGACTTGCAGCTCAAGATTTGTACTTCTAACAGTACTTCCCTTCCTGGGGCTCAGTTGGTTGAGTGTCCGACTCTTGATTTCTGCTCAGGTCATGATCCCAGGGTCGTGGGATCGAGCCCTGCGTCTGGCTCTACACGCTGACAGCTCAGAACCTGTTTGGGATTCTCTCTCTCCCTCTGCCCCTTTCTCCTGCTTGTGCGTGCGCTCTCTCTCACTCTCTCTCTCTAAAACAAAAACCAACGATGCTTCTCTTCCTGAAAACACTCCCAGCCCTTCCCCCACAGACACTTCTGTGTCCTCAGTGATGTTCCTAGCTCCGCACGTGGTAAGTGCAGTGGGCTGTGTGCGCTGAGGCTTTCAAACTGGCACGGAAGCCTTACTTACTGCCCGCTTTGTGCTGGTGCTCAGCTGCCTCCATGTTTTTCCGCCTTCAAAACCAATCATGAGAGACAGGCATTTAAGGCCAGCTCTTAGCCAGGACCATGCACAAGCACCTAGGGAGTCAGCCTTTGCCTACCCGTCCCACTCCCTGCAAATTCTGAACCATGTCTGGGGCAGGGCCTGGAGATCTGAGTATATGAAGGTCTCAACCAAGTCCTTCTGATGCTCAGATGGGTGGGGGGTCGGGGAGGCAGAATACAGTGAATTTTCGGGTTTTTCTGGGCGAATCTTACTTGCTCTTTATCTAGCTTCCCTAGATCTCGAGTCTGGGATCTAGATATTCTGTGTATCTGCTGCTGAGTAATTTAACCTTGAGCTTGATGGCTAAGAAATGGGCAGTATTGCACTTTTCAGTTAGGTGCATTTGTTATTACCTTGATAAATGTAAACAGATGGCCTGGAAATTTGGTAAAGCTCCTTTTCAGTAAAGAGTGCTGGAACTAGCATCCCACAAATCAGGGTTTCTTGATATAGAGCTGATGGATGGGCTGTTGGCATTCCCATGTGCAGAACTGTGCGGGTGTGTTTGCCAGAGGGAATTCTTTAGCTTTAGAAAGAACTGAAAGAGGGCCACTGACTTTAATAAAACAGCACTTTAGTCGTTACAGAATCTCAGAAGGCAACCAGGAATAGTGATAGGACACACGCAGCCTCTGTCCCACTGCCCTGAGACTTGTCCTGACACATTGTGACCAGGTGGTGGCAGGGTGCTAGGTTGGTTGTGGAGAGTTCTGGAAACTCCACCTCACCGTCCAACTTTGTGTGTGCCCTTTTTCAGGAGGACGAGTTCTTTGACTCCGGGAGGCAGAGAGGTAGGCATCGCTCCATGTCCCTCTGAGCTTTGCTGTGACTGCCCGGCTCCCGGCCAGGCCGGACTTCTGAGCAAGCCCAGGGCCTGGATGGAGGGCTTGGCGGCTCAGGGCAGAAGAGGGGCCGTGGCCACCGGGTGGGCCTTGGCCGTGGTGCTCACCCCCAGGCTTTGCTCCAGTGCTTAGAGCAGCACTTGCTGGAAACAGGTCTGTCTGCCTCACTTGATACAGGCTGTCACGAGAGGGGGCAAACCTCATCTCTGAGTATGTGCAGCAGCTTGCAGTGGCAGGGAAGGGAGAGTCTCAGAAACGCAAGAAAGAAAAGAAAAGGTGCTCTCCAGCCTGTCCGCTCTGTTCCCTATTGGCCTGTTGCAGGTCCCTGTACGGTTTTTTCCTGGGCTTTTCACACTTCCCTGCGTTGCCAGCCCAGCGTTGTGCTCTCAGCCTCTGTGGTGGGCATGCTGGCGGCAGCAGCACACATGGCTGTGTGGGACTGAGTTCAGACACCTTCCTGGGTTGGGAGCTGGGGGTGGGGGGTGGGGGGTGGGGGGTGGGGAAGGGGAGGGCCTGTCACGTGCACCCAAGCCCGGGTCCTCCAGAGATATTCCCTGCTCAGCAGGTCTCATCAGTGCCATTGTGGGAGACCGAAGAGTCTCAAGTAAGCGGCAAGAGCAGAGCAAGGTTCAACCCTTTCAGGGGGGTGTGGAGAAGCAGCTCGAGACACCGTGGCCTTGATCTTGGCCTTGATCTTGCCATTTGTTTCTTTTCCTGTTCCCATTGATCTGTCCATAGCTGGTTTTCCCCAAGAATCACAGGCTGGCTCCTTTGTGGCTCTGCTGCCATAAATCTGCAGGCCCCTGGCTTAGATGCTCCTTCTATGTGTTTAGACTTGGCCAACCCTCTGAGGCCCTCCCACGTTGTTTATTGAAGTGATTACTCCTATGGCTTGGGACCACACAGCAGTACGCAGCTCATGCAGCAGGGTAAATGCTAAAGCAAAGGTGACATGTTTATTGCGCGCAGGTCCTGCTACCTACCCGGGATGACTTTGCTATTAAACAACAGTAATAGTTTCAGGCAGTGACCTCTTGCCAAAAATCCCACACGCCCTTTTGAGAGGCTTCTGAGCAGCGCACGCCGGTCGCCATCTTCGTGGGACAGTCTCGTGACTGGCATCAGGGGTAGGGGTTACAGTTCAGATGCTTATCCAACCTTTTTTCAGTGTCTGGCCCTGGCCCTGAGCCGTGGTGACCTGGCCTGGCCTTGCTTCACGCCGGGACGCTGGGCTGCACAGCGCTCAGAGGAGCCTCTGCGCTGGCCCCAGGGGACGGACGGAGGACCAATTGGTCTCTTCCCACTTTTGTTTCTAGGACTGCTTCCCTCGTAGCCCTGGGAAAGCCCTAGATGGACGGTTTTTGTGAGTGGAAGATAGAGTTCGGGCCAGCAAGGACTGTCAGACCTGCTGAGGCCCTAGTTCAGAGGAGGCTGACGGGACAGTCGTCATGGTCCACCTAGAGGTGGGACGGAGGGCGGTAGAGCGGCTTGCTCTAGTTTCTGAGGCCTTCCCGCTGCTGCCTCTTATCTGGGAAGAATCGCTTCTCTCTCTCCTTAAGTGATTTTGGGAGAAGACCGATGGCAGGGCACTGGATCAGAAAAGCAGGGTAGGGAAGGACAGAGAGAGAGCAGGTGGCTGTGGTGTGAGTGGGACGGGCAGGCCGGGTCCCTGGCCCATCCCAGCCTCGTCACACCATGGGGGCATGTGAGCTGACTCCCTGAGAACTCCCAAGGGTTCTCATCAAAGGCCTATCCCTGTTGGGAGCCTTTGACAGACTATTGGTGCCTCAGGGTATCCTGACCCTGCTGTGTTGGAGGTGGCAGCAGGCACGGGGTGCCTGGTGGTGGCCGAGCTGTGGTCCCCATCAAGCCCTGGTGCTCAGCATCTCTGCAGGCTCCTCAGGGCGTCTCGAAGGGACTTCTCTGTTACAGGAGAGAAGGACGATGAGGATGATGAAGTAAAGAAGAGAAAGGAAAAGCAAAGGAGGAGAGACCGCATGCGAGACCGAGCGGCAGACAGGTGAGGAGGCAGGCCCGGGGGGAGGTTGGCAGGAACCCGGGCACTGGTGAGGTTCTCCTGAGCTCATCTGTCTTCACTGCACAACGCAGGGGCGGTCTGGTTTGATCTGACTGTGGTGTCTGTCAGGAAGTGCAAGTGAGGTCGAGAGGAGACAAAACTTGGGAGATGCCGATGGCCCTACGTTCTTGCCAGTGAGTCGCTGGCCCGCATGTGTCCAGCAGGGGGCGCTATTGCTCTCCTGCCGACCCGTAGGGAGTTTCCCAGTCCACGGCTTATATCTGTCACCCCAGACAGGTGAACTTTAGCAGAGCTGCTAAGAAGGTGCTTTGGGTGTCTTGACCGAATCCCGACCGCCTCTGGAGTTCGGTATGGCAATTGTATATGTTTAGGTGCTACTTTACAAATTTAGTCTCTAGGTATAAAAAGAATTGCAAAAGTGCGAAGGGTGTTGGTGTGACCACACCATGTGCCTCTCTGCCTTTTCAGTGATCAGGTGGCTGCTGACTAGAAATGGAAACCACTGGTGGCCTTGTGAGCGCTTGGTTGCTCAGGCCTTGACTGCTCGCGGCTGTTTCTCTACACACAGGCTCTCTATGACCTGATGGGGAATCCTTTATGGCTCAAATGGGGTGGTGCTTTTCCTGTGCAGACAAGTGCAAAACAGATGTTAGCAAAAGAGCTAACTGTAGAGGCAGGAAAGCCAGGAACTGGAAAGTAGGCACTTCCAAGTGTTAAACAGAAATTCATCGAAACATTTGTTTTTGTTTTTGTTTTTATTTTTAGTTTTTTAAGTTTATTTACTTATTTTGGGAGTGAGCAAGCAGGGAAGGGGCAGAGAGGGAGGGAGAGAGAGAATCCCAAACAGGCTCTGCACCATTAGCACGGAGCCCGATGTGCGGCTCAGACCCATGAACCAGGAGATTGCGACCTGAGCCGAAATCAGGATTCGGGCAATTAACCAACTGAGCCACCCAGGCGTCCCTGAAATGCTTGTTTGTAAATGAATAAGTAACGAACGATGGCTAGATCAGGTCTATTTCCATGCTGTATGAGAACGGAGATGACATTTTCTTCAGAAGGAATCTTTAGACTCCGCCCTAGTGACAGAGGGTCCTCAAAGAGACTTGGAGAAATAGTCACAAGGAAGCGTGAACCCTGTATTTATTTGGTAGCTTCCTGAGAGTTGTACGCATTCATACACATAGGGCCCCAGGACTTTTTCTGTGCACTCCTCCAATGAGAGTATGTGCAAAAGTAAATGTCATATCTTGTCCAGAGAGGAGAAGCCTGCCATCGGGGGCCGGCAGCAGTCTGAGTTGGTAGATGAGGACTCCTGAGTGCCACCGGGTCCATGCTATTACCCCATGTGCGCCAGGGCCTCCTGGGCAGAGCCAAGGGAAGCAGCGCCCCACTCTGGGGGCATAGGGCTCTGCAAGCTGCTCTCTTGCCCTACAGCGTGACTGCATTTGTGAGATTTTGAAAGCAGGCAACAAAGAAATGTGGTTTTAGCTGTAAAATTTGATATGACAGGTCTTTACATTGAGTCCCATGGGAAAACTTATCTTGGGTTTTATAGGTTTTAAATTGTGTAAGGTCTTCCAGGAATACCCCCTCACAGAGGTTACCTCAGGGGTGCCTGGGTGGCTCAGTCCATTGGGCATCCGACTTCAGCTCAGGTCATGATCTCGAGGTTCGTGGGTTGGAGCCCCACTTCGGGCTCTGTGCTGACAGCTCAGAGCCTGGAGCCTTCTTTGGATTCTGTGTCTCCCTCTGTCTCCCTGCCCCTCCCCTGCTCATGTCCGTTCTCGAAAATAAACATTAAAAAGAGTATACAGCGGTGCCTGGGTGGCTCAGTGGTTGGGCATCTGACTTCGGCTTAGGTCATAATCTCGCAGTTCATGGGTTCAAGCCCCGCGTTGGGTTCTGTGCTGACAGCTCAGAGACTGGAGCCTGCTTCGGATTCTGTGTCTCCCTCTCTCTGCCCCTCCCCCAATCGATGAGCTTGCTTGCGTGCTCTCTCTCAAAGATAAACATGTAAAAAACAATGTTTTTAAATGAGGTTATCTCATGTTCTTCTGGTGGCTGCAGAAAGAAGTTATGGAATTACTATGCCCCCCCGGAGCAGTGGTCTGGAGGCTTTTAGAGAGTCCACAGTTTTGGAAAATCTCCACCTTAGGGTGCTCTCTTAGGGGCCTTTGGGCCCAGCAGACTGGAATGGTGCATGAGTCACCTCCCTGAACTACTCGAAGGTTTTACTCCCATTCTTGACACGGGGAAACCCAGGGTAATGGCTACTCTGATGCCCTGTGTGAAGTCCGAAGTCTTGGTATAGAAATTGCTTTCCCGTTTCCATTGAGTTCCGACTGGAGGCGAGCTGATTGCATCATTGCTCGTTTCGTCTTCCCTCTCCAGGATTCAGTTCGCCTGTTCTGTGTGCAAGTTTCGTAGCTTTGAAGAAGATGAAATCCAGAAGCATCTACAAAGCAAATTTCACAAAGAGACATTGAGGTTTATAAGCACCAAACTCCCTGACAAGACCGTACAGTTCCTCCAGGTAAAGCACACTTGGTGTCCATCACAGTGTTTCCTGATGGGCCTGCCGGAGTCGGATCCCTCACGGAGAAGGGACGGGGAAGGGAAGTATGAGGCCTGGGCTTTCCAGAATAACAGCGTACAAGTCCTGGGTCCGAGGGAGAGCCGAGCGCTCTGGCCACTGTAGTTCCCTCGAGCTGCTCGGAGAGCCATCTCCCCGTCCCGGGTCGGCTGAGACAGGGCTGTCCTCCTCCAGGGGCTTGGCAGCCGCCCTCAGTGAGCCGCCTCTGGTGCGGCCGGGACACAGGCAGACACAGCGCCCTGCCATTTCATTCGGTGCCATCTTCTCTAGGAGTACATCGTAAACAGGAATAAGAAAATTGAGAAGCGGCGTCAGGAGCTGATGGAGAAGGAAAGCACAAAACCCAAACCAGACCCTTTCAAAGGTGAGTCGTGGTCTTGGGGCGCGCGGCTGGGTGCAAAGCCAGCCCGTTGGAGGGTTACTGAGCATGTGACCTGGGGACCCTCGGGTGGGACACCTAGCAATGGAAAGAAGCCCTTGAGTGTGTCTAATGAAGGTCACTTTACTGGTGGCTTTTCGGAGTGATACTACGCCCCCTGATGTTTCTTCGTCCTTTGTATGAAATGACCAGATGGATGAAAAAAGTTGAGTAAAATTGCCCAGTGCAGATGTGCTTCCGTCCACACCCTCCTGCTAGAGGGCGGATGTTGCCTGTCACAGATTTCTGCCCTAACCCGATCCTTGGGGACGAACCCACCAGGACAAAACGTGGGCCCTGTTGGGGAGCAGGAGGACAGTATCACCTGATGCTGTCCCAAATTGCGCCAGACTTGGGTTGTACCCATAGGGATCGGCCAGGAGCACTTTTTCAAGAAGATAGAGGCGGCTCACTGCCTGGCTTGTGACATGCTGATCCCCGCGCAGCATCAGCTCCTCCAGCGGCACCTGCACTCGGTCGACCACAATCACAACCGCAGGGTGAGTCCCCTCCTCCTGCCGAGCCAGCCGAGCCTTTCCAGGCTGCCACCGGTGGGACACGGGGCCTTCTGTGTCTTGTGGGGAATGCGAGCATCTTGAGGAGCTTTTTAACATACCCTGTTGAGTCTGTCATTTCGTCAGTGGATTGTAAGACACGTCCGAATTTCTGTTAAAATGTGAGAAAATGTGTTACTTCACAACGGACTTCAGTAGAGGAGGTGAAATTCTCCTGGTTGAGAATGTTCCCTGTAAGCCACACAGGTAAATTTCCTAGTTGTTGACAAACCAGATTTCCTATAAGCTGAGGCTGAGGGCCATTCAGAGCACAGTGGCTTGCTTGGGGGGCCCAGAGTTAAGAACGGATTGGGGCTTAACTAGCTGGTGGGGACTGAGGCTATAAATGTGTAGACTCAGGGTGTTGGCAGGTTTTTTATAAAGGGTCATGTGGCAGATACTTCCATGGGGTCTCTTGACATGTCAAGTCTGCTGCCGATGGGCACCAGCAGCCAGAGTACAGAAGTAGTGGGTGTGGCCGCATGTGGCCCCTAAGCTCACTTGCTGAGCCCTGGTTTTTGTCTCTGTCCTTCGTTCACCCGACTATCAAACGGAGATGTCAGTACCTGCTTGTGCATCTCCTAGTTGATTAAAGATCATCCAGGAAACACAACACAAATAAGCAGTATCGTTTCAGTGGGCCAAGATCAAAAATAATCCAGGTGGTTGCAGAATCCCTACTTCTGCCATTGAATTTACTCATAAAGTCACCTTTACTCAAGAAACTGAAAAGAAAAAACTTGTCCTTTTCCCATGCTGAGTCCGCATAGCATCTGATGTGTAAATATTCTCGTTTCATGCTTGTTCGTGCACACGGTACCTGGCAGGCCCTGGTGTGTCAGTGGTGATCAGACTTTTCTACACTGTCCCAGTTCCAGTGTCTCTCCAGGGCCTTCTTTCCTTATGGGAGTCTGGCATTTTGGGACTTGCCACTTGCCACAGTGAAGAAAGATACTGGTCTTTTTCTTGTTTAGGGCTGATCCCAGGGCAACTCAGGGTAGCCTGGCTAGTTTTCTTGCTCCTTGCTGCACACCAGGTCTAAAAGTCCACGTTTGGTTCCCTTTGCAGTTGGCTGCTGAACAGTTCAAGAAAACCAGTCTCCATGTGGCTAAGAGTGTCTTGAACAACAGACACATAGTGAAGATGCTGGAAAAATACCTCAAGGTTTGTGCTTAGGGGTCCAGTGTACGGGAGAAGCTTTTGGAATGGAGGATGAACTCTACAAGTGCAGAATTGCACCCAGAGTATAGTATTTAGCATTTCTAAGTCTTTTGAAGAATCAAGGGACTCCGGAAGGTGTCAGGTTTGGCAATTCCACGGCGGTGGGTTTCCTCCGACCCCCCCTTGCTTGCGTGGGGTCTGGGACACGGTCCTGCTTGATTTGCGCCTACACTGGTGCTGGCTCACCATGGGAAAGCTTGAATATCCATGAAATCCTGAGCAAGTGATTGTGAGATGCTTAAAGAAGAATGCAAGTTAGATGCTAACTATCCAGGAAAGAAGCCAAAAAGAGACTTGCTGGCAGAGACAGCCGACAAGAGGGAGGGGGAGGAAAGAGCTGGTGGTGCCACGACTACGGTGCCTTGGTGACCCGAGCAGAGTAATAAAAAGTCCCAGAGAGGGTGCCCCAGAGAGAGGTCCGGCTGGAAGAGCCCCTGGTTCCTCCTTGGGAAGCCCACCTGTTAAATGCTCAGCCCCAGACCTCACTGTTTGGGGCTGGCAGTTAGGCTCCAGCACAGCCTGACTGGAAGGATCTGTTTGCCCACCTCTCATTTATTGAATCTGCCAGTATTGGATGCTTCGTGCTACCCAGTAAAAAGGCATCACAGAACACACGTGTGCGAAGTTCGGGGAGGGAGAGGGGGAGTCTCAAGTAGGCTCCATGCACAACACAGAGCCCGACGCTGGGCTCGATCCCACAACTCTGGGATCATGACCTGAGCCGAAATCAATAGTCAACTGGACGTTCAACTGACTGAGCCACCCAGGCGCCCCAAGGCATCATAGGATCTAAATAAATAACCATGACTGGTCAGTGTTTTGTGTCATGGCTTAAACAGATTTAAAGTTTCTTGGGTCAGGTGTAGACGCAAGCTTCAAACACCATATTTTATGTATTCGTATATTTAAAAGATTTTTTTTTTTAAGTCCTCTCTATGCCTACTGTGGGGCTCGAACTCACAACCCTGAGACCAAAAGTCGCATGCTCCACTGACTGAGCCAGCCAGGCATCCCCTAAACACCGTATTTTAAAACCTATTTCCTAATCTGCCGGTGGTGACGTTTACTTTTTCTAAACTAGAGGCAGTTGTAGCATACGCTGAAAGAAGTTTGGCTTCTCAGAGTCTGACTTGGGTTCAATCCTGATTGATGTTTAATAGTCGTGTGGCCTTTGACAAGTTGCTGAGACTCATTTCCTTGTCTGCAAAATGGGGCAACTCTTATATAACCAGGGCTGTGTACTTAAACTAAAATTTGAAACTCAGCTTCCTGTTATGAGGGTTTTTTTGCTTTAATTGGGTTAAGAAATCCTAGGTCTTTTTGAACTTCACTATTAATTATATGCTTGGATTAAAAAGTGCAAAACCGGGGCGGGGGAGCAGTTATTGTGTTAAATACTTGTAAATACTCTCCTCTAAATTTTACAAAGCCTTTGAAGAAGGGGGAAAAGTATCTTTCAAAAACCCATTGCAGAGATTGAAGTTACTAATGTTAAAACCAAGAATACCCCCTTATTCTGCTTATACCATACGCCCTAGCTAACTAAATAAGAAAATTAAAGGTAAAAGGCAAAACCGTTGTGGTGAAGCTTTTCTGGATCCAGAGGCCCTGAGCACCCGTAGGATTAACCCCCCTGCTGTAGTTGAAGGCATTTCTGTCGTTGAAGGGGCATCATAAGAACCCGGACTCCTGGCCGCCTGGGCCACCTTCAGCCTTTCATCTGGACAGCTCTGTAGGCCGCATTGACCTTTTCCTCTTCTTGGCCAGGGTGAAGACCCTTTCACCAATGAAGCCGTTGATCCAGAAGTCGAAGGAGATGACAATTTAGGAGGTGAGGATAAGGAAGAGACACCTGAAGAGGTGGCTGCGGAGGTCTTAGCTGAGGTTATTACAGCAGCAGTGAGAGCCGTGGACGGGGCGGGAGCGCCTGCTCCGGAACGCAGTGAAATGCTGGCCGAAGGGGAAGGCCCCGTGGACTCGGCAGAGGCCGCTCGTGGCCCCCACTCTGAACAGCTGGAAGAAGTGGAGACACCGTGTGGCACGGCATCTGAGAAGGGCAGCGCTGAAGCAGAGGCCGGAGGCGAAGTGGCAGCAGAGGTGGAGGGCGCCGAGGTAGTCCCTGCTCCTGCTCCTGCCCCTGCCCCTGCCCCTGCCCCTGCCCCTGCCCCGGCTGCTGCGGGAGCCAAAGAGAAGCAGACGGAGCAGACGGATGCAGAGCCCGAAGGTGACGTTCCCACAGACTGAGCCGCCTCCCCGTTTCAGGGGATGTGTTTCAGAAATGCGTTGCTCTCTCTCCTTTTGCGTTGCTCTCTCTCACTGTTTGTAAGCAGTGCTAGGTGTGTTACTGGAATATGCTGGAAACTTTGGTGAAGAGACCCAGCCATTTCCTTCCAAAAAGTGTACCTCACGGGCTTGTGTTGCAGAGTTGTCTGGCTTTCCGCCTTGGTTTAAAGGCTGCAGAAGTTGTACATTCCCCCAAGTGGCTGTGAAATCTCTCTACACTGCAGTTGGAGTAATAAAAGTTGGGTAATTAGATTTTGATGATATTTTGCTTGTTAAATACAGCAACTGGCTGAATGCCCTTTTTATTATTATTATTTTTTTTTCTGAAAGCAGCTTAATACTAGGGTATATCTTGTTTTATAAAGGGTTTTTTGGTTTTTTTTTAAGTTTCAAGAATTTGCTTTGGCTTCAGTTTTTGACCTGCTTCGGGAGCACACCGTGTGTGGTGTGTGATCCTCACAAGATGTAGCAGAATCTTGTTAACTTGATGTTGGTTCTGTCACGTCAGTGACCTCTTCTCAAAGGCCTCATGAATCTGACAGACCGGGACCCTTGGACGCCCTCCCGCTTGCCCCTCAAGAATGAGGACATTTTGCCTAGGGCATTATTTTCCCAATCTTTAGTCTTTGGTGTATCACCTTTATAGTTTTTGTTTTGTTTTTACCTCATTTGTGTTCCACCTTTGTTACTTCAGGGTTGGGTTTTTTTTTTTTTCTTCCTTTAAAGTGAGTTGCTTCTACTTCAATATATTTAGAAAGAAAACTTGGTGTCACTCCCATGAATGGAAAACAAATATAAATTGCCATAGATAGATGCTGTCTGTAAGAAATGAATACAGTGAAATACACACATTTCAAATACTACCCCTTTGGAGGTTTAGGGATCTGGGAAAGTTAGCCTGTGTAAAAGGGTAGCAAGCGAGTTACACTTTGATATAATCAAGAGAATTGAAAGATGCTTCCCTTTTGAAATGATACTGCTGGGCCTGTTTCCCTGCAAAGCTTTGAACTGTCTCACTCGGGGAAGCATCGGCGGGGCGGGGGCGGGGAATTTACTAGATGGTAGAAGACTTGGGGAGCACCTGTTGTGCACAAGGTGCTAATCCCTGATAAAAGTTAAGATATGGGCCCTGCTCTCGAGGAGCTTTATTGCAGACGAGATGAATATTTATGAAAGGTCAATTAAAGAACTAGAAACAAATAAATTGCTCAGTAAGCAAGAAAATGGTGTCTGAATTGTGTCTGTCATCACCACTACACAGATGTGCCTTAGTTTGTGTGTGCCCTTTGAAGTGTCTTCTCTCGAGGCAAAAAGGTTGGTGGCATTGCACATCAGTAGTCTGAAAAAGGATGACAGAACCATGAAACTGTTCTGTTCTGCTTCTCTTGTAAAATGCACTCCACGGCCTGTCATTAAACCTATCTTAAATTTCATTGTGGTCCTTCCACGCCCACCCAGTCATGAAGTGACATGAATCGTTTTGTTCCTCAATTGCACTTAAACCAGGCCCTGGTTCCCCGAGATGGGAGTAACTACTTGGATTGCAGAGAGGGATGCCCCTCTGCCCCAAGAGGACAGGAATAAACTGCAGGCTTCCTCCTCTCAGTTATTTCCCACGTGCAGAGGAGAAACTGCAGGGGGAGGTTAAGTAACTTTTAGGGTCACCTACCAAACATGAAGGTACCCAAATTATGCATGGATCTGTGGGACACCACTGGCCATAAACTTGACCGAGAGTACCTTTATTAAAAAGGGTTTGGAGAATTTGGTCAACCCTGCTATTCCCAGACAGAAAGATCTTAGAAACAGCCTGATTTCAACTTCACGTCACCCCTATTGTGGGCTTGTGTGGTTTCACTGAGTTTTTATGAAATTATTTAATACAGTTGGTAATGGGTAAACAATACAGTGTAAAGAGCAAAGTGCTCATTCAGGAGTACATCAGGGGAGGCTGGCTGGCTGTTGGAAGAGCACGTGGCTCAAACCCTGGGTGCTAAGTTCGAGCCCCACCTTAGGTGTAGAGATTTCTAAGAGGGTGCATAGTCATTAGTGTTACTAAGTCCCCTCCAATTAAATTTTGGACCATAAAAAAGCCATTTCTACTGCCTGACAACCTGGCTGAAAGTGGGCCTTGCTCACCCAAGTGTGGCCAGTAGTGATTAGACAGGCACAGGAAAGTTCAGGAACTAAAGAACAAACAGAAGAGCCTTTTAGCAATTGTTTGGTAGTAGCCTCCTTGGAGCACTTAGTAAACACATGGGCATGGGAAAAACCCATGGTGTGGCTCTACACTTCATAGTGGTGGCTCCTGGATCATTGAGAAAGTATGGGGCCACTTCCTTTACCTTCTACAAGGACACTGAGGCCAATGAGATTGGTTTTCCACAAGCAGACTTAGTCTACATACCTCCTCTCAAAACTATCAGGTGCAGGTATACTTTATATAGATAAATTAGAATTCAGTTTGGGGGACAATATGGTTTGGTAGGGGACAATCCACTCATGGGCGTGGGTGTCAGCTGAATGAGATAAACATTTGGCTCTATTGAAAAAGTGGTTTGAGCTCAACGTTTTTCTTTTTTAGAGGTAAAAGTCACAACAAAATGAGCCATTCACCATTTAAAAATTTGTTTAAGATTTTACTTTTATTTCATTAAAAATTTTTTTAATGTTTATTTTTTGAAGGAGAAAGAGCATGAGCAGGGGAGGGGCAGAGAGAGGGAGACACGGAATCTGAAATGGGCTCCAGGCTCAGCTGTCAGCAGAGCCTGATGTGGGGCTTGAACCCACAAACCATGAGATCAAGACCTAAGCCGAAGTGGGATGCTTGACCGACTGAGCCACCCAGGCACCCTAAACGATTTTATTTTTATAGAGCACACGCATGAACGGGGGAGAGAGAATCCTAAGCAGGCTCCACGCTCTGTGCTGAGCCCCACGTGGAGCTCAATCCCATGACCCTGGGATCATGACCTAAGTGGAAATCAAGAGTCGGACATTCAACCCACTGAGCCACCCAGGCACCCCTAAGAGATTTTATTTTTTAAAAAAGACTATTTTGAGAGTGTGTGTGCGTGCATGATCAAGGCAGGGGCAGAGATAATGGGAGAGAGAGAATCCCAAGCAGGCTCCAGCACTGTCACCATAGAGCCCAACAAGAGGCTCAAATTCATGAACCAGATCATGACCTGAACCGAAACCAAGAGTCAGATGCTTAACTGAGCCACCCAGGCACCACTAAAATATTTTAAAGTAATCTCTACACCCAATGTCAGGATGGAACTTAGATCCATGAAATCAAGAGTTGCATGCTCCACTAAGCCAGCCAGGTGCTCCTCCATTAGCCATTTTAAAGTGGACAATGTACTCCCTCTCTCAAAAAAAAAAAAAAAAAAAAAAAAAAAAAGGTGCCTGCCTGGGTGGCTCAATTAAGATGGACAGTGCAGTGGCATCTGGGATACTCGCAATGTTGGGCAGCCATCACCTATAACTGGTTCCAAGACATTTTCCTCACCCTAAAAGGAAACTGTATCCCCATTCTCAATAACCCCATTCCTCCTCCCATCCCTTGACAGCCACTAATATGCTGTCTCTGGATTTATGTGGTCGGGCTATTTCACGTAGAGGGAACCATCCATCACCTTTTCAGTATGACTTCTTTCACGAAGCATGTTTTTGAGGTTCCTCCATGCTGTAGCTGGTGTCAGTACATCATTCATTTTTATGGTTGAATAATATCCAGTCATCCAATAATGGACCTCTAAGTTGTTTCCACATTTTGACTATTGTGAATAGTGCTGCTAGAAACTTTTTCTTTTTTTTAAAGTAGGCTCCACGCTAGGTGTGGAGCCCAATACAGGGCTTGAACTCATGACCTTGAGATCAAAACCTGGGCTGAGATCAAGAGTCGAATGCTTAGCGGAGTCCTTAGTTGGAATTAGACCTGCAAATTACAGTTGGTCAAGGCTGTGGTCTCATGTGAAGGCTTGACTGTGGAAGGTTATCCCTTCAGTGTTGACAGTGTGGTGGTTAGCAGAACTAAGTTCCTTGCAGCTGCTGGACTGAGGGAAGGCTTTGGCTCCTTGCCGGCTATTGGCGAGAAGCCACCCTCAGCCTCTTGCCATATGGGCCTCTCCTATACAGCAGCTTGCTTCATCAAAATGTGCAAGCTGAGAAAGCAAAAGAGACGAACCAGATGAAAGCCAGTCTTCTGTAACCTGATCGTGAAAGTGACATCCCATCACTTTTCAGAGAATCTCTTTACTACCAGCAAATCACTAGGTCCAGCCCACACTCAAGGGGAGATTACACAAGGATGTGAACACCAGAAGGTGGGGATTCACTGGGGGCCATCTTTGAAAGTTGCCTATCACAGAATTCTATCTAAATCCAAATATAGATGCTTTTCTTATGCACATATTAAGAACGACCCATGTTCCTTTTTTTTTTTTTTTTAATTTTTTTTTCAACGTTTATTTATTTTTGGGACAGAGAGAGACAGAGCATGAACGGGGAAGGGGCAGAGAGAGAGGGAGACACAGAATCGGAAACAGGCTCCAGGCTCCGAGCCATCAGCCCAGAGCCCGACGCGGGGCTCGAACTCACGGACCGCGAGATCGTGACCTGGCTGAAGTCGGACGCTTCACCGACTGCGCCACCCAGGCGCCCCGACCCATGTTCCTTGAGGAGAGGAACAGGAGATGTAGGCTTTCGGTTTTGACATGTACTTACACTGATGACAGCAGGTGGTTCCCACCAAGCTTTAAAGCAGGCCTACTCAGGGAGTCCCTGCTAAAATATGTTCCACCAGGCGTCCTTCCCCAGAATAGCCTGGCTTCAACCCTGGTGAAAATTGGTCAAACAAGAAACCTTCCCTTGCTCAGCCAATGCCAAAGAATTTTTAGCAGCTGGAACAGCCTCACTTGGTTCAATGTCACTCATTCTGATGCCATGATGATTCCACAGGGCCTTGAACTCATGGGACTGTCAGTGGCTCGTGACTGAAATTCTACCAGCAACGCTTTTAGCTGCCTCTATGCTTTGGCATCACCAGCCTTCTGTGTGGGCCTTAAACTAGAAGGTGTCTTATGATGTTGCTCATTTCCCGGTCATACATTCAAAAGTTTGTACATTTCAACTTCATCATCTGCCTTTTCTATTTACTTCTCTTGCTCAGGCATGGTTTCTTTACATATGTATCATCCATTCTTAAAAAAGTTGAAGTACACATTGTGCATTGAACACAAAATGTGCATAAAACACAGGTACGGTTGAATGAATAACTATAAAGTTAATGCACAGTGAAGAGGAACACTTTTCCTTCCTGTAAGATGAAAAAGCTCTAGAGACCTCCTATGCAATAGTGTGCTTGTAGTTAGCAATACCATATGCTTAAAAATGTAATAGGGCGCGTGGCTGGCAGTCAGTAGAGCATGTGACTCTTGATCTTGGAGTCGTGAATTCGGGCCCCACATTGGGCCTAGTTTACTAAAAAAAAAAAAAAAAAAAAAAGGTAACAGAGTAGATCTTGTGCAGGTGAATCAGCAGGACCAGGCCAGGTCATTGATTTGGAAAATATATTTAAAAAAAAAACAAAACAGAGGGGCGCCTGGGTGGCTCAGTCGGTTAAGCGTCCGACTCCGGCTCAGGTCATGATCTCGCAGTCCATGAGTTCAAGCCCCGCGTCGGGCTCTGTGCTGACGGCTCGGAGCCTGGAGCCTGTTTCCGATTCTGTGTCTCCCTCTCTCTCTGACCCTCCCCTGTTCATACTCTGTCTCTCCCTGTCTCAAAAATAAATAAACGTTAAAATAAAAAACAAAACAAAACAACAAAAAAACAGAATATTGCCACACCTTAGATATTGGCTGTACCCACCCACTCCCTCAGCCCTTCCAGGTGATCCTTTTGGGCAACCACTGGTGATTACTTTTCTTTATAGATTTATTTCCCCGAAATCTTTAGTCTATTCTTGTTTTAAAACTCAACATAGTGGGGTGCCTGGGTGGCTCAGTCGTTAGGCATCTGATTTCGGCTCAGGTCATGATCTCTTGGTTCACAAGTTCAAGACCCTCGTTGGGGCCTGGAGCCTGGAGGCCTGGAGCCAGAGCCTGGAGCCTGCTTTAGATTCTGTTATCTCCCTCTGTCTCTCTCAAAAATAAACATTAAAAAAAAA